TGATAAGTGCAACTTTTGAAATAATAATTTATATATTTTTCAACTATCTAATAAATCTTTAATCGATAAGCTTTTACAAGTTGGAGATTTCAATTTTGTATATTAAAATATATAATAATGCAGTCATATATTTTTCACAATAAAATATATGTATATGTGTCTATACGCATAGTGGTGATTGCTTTTAGCTTCCATAATTAAAGAAGGGATAAGTTTTAAACTTAAAAAAAAATATGGACCCAGAAGCCAATTAGATATGCTCCTGATAATTGTAGCATTAATTATATGGGTTAGTGATGAAGGAAACATTTGGTAGATGCTATGCTATATTAATCTTTGCTAAGGGGATAAGGATAGATTAGGTGGTGCCTTGGAAATTCTAAACTACTCCTTTATACCACTTTTTTAATAAATGGAAATTTAAATTGCTAAGCTTTCATATCATAAATTAATCTGACAAATCCAGCATTGGATCTAGCAAATTAGAGATTAATTGTTTGTGGATCAATTGGAGATTGGAGGATAATTATCCTATTTGTATATTATTTGTGCTTGTTTATGTTTATCAAAATATACCTTTAGTTGGAATTACAAGCCTCACGTGAAACCCAAGGCACAATATTACTATAATAAAAAGCCGGCGTATTATATTCAATTCATTCATCTAAAATATCCTAAAAAAACTCCTTTTTTCTTTTTTTTTTTTTTTTCTTTTCTTCGTTGTCTTTCCATCTGCGGAGGCATAAATATCCTTTGCTTTAAGAAAAGAATTTTATGGCATTTCAAATTTCGCGATTATGTGTTAGAAATAATTACGAATTTTGCTAGTATTATCTCTTTTTATATTAGTAATAATATTTTTTTGTATTTTTAGCATTCATGTGTAAGTTATTCACTTAATCTGTGGTTAGTTAAAATGATGATTTTTATATTTTTCAATTATTTAATAAATGTTTAATTGATTTAATTTTGAAAATTTAAATATTTCATAGAATAATTTTTACAAGTTGAAGTATTTAATTAGAACAATCTTTTTAAATTGAAGTATTTAATAAACTAAATTTAAAGTTAAAAGCGTCATAAAATTTTTCACGTAAAGTACATGGATGAATTTATATGTTAAACCTCTTTTTATCTCTCTTTCATCTTTTTTGAGCTGCCACTACTCGTCATCCCTCTTCATTTTATCTCTTTAGTTTTATTTTTACTTATTTATTTTTTAAAATAATTTTCAAATATGTGTCTCTTTGATATATATTTTGATTAAATATCTTATATCTCTATATTTTACTGTCTCTGTTCTAAAAAGATAGTCCATCTTTTCTTTTTGATTTGTCTCAAAATACAGTCCATTTTCCTTTTTGGCATTATAGTTTTCTAAAATTTTCTATTATACTCTCATTAAATTTTATTTTATTTTCAATAACTCTCATTAATGCTCACTCATTATTCCAATATAATGATTGTTCATGTGTTATTTAAAAATGAAATAATAAGAAAATTAACATGAATAAAATTGTCTTTTAACCATAATAATTGCTACTTTCTTAATATCTGTGAAAATAGAAAGTGTATTATCTCTTTGGAACGAAAGGAATAATAATTTTGAGTATATGTTGTCATATCTATTTTTCTTTTACAAATTTTGAGTTTTGGTTAATTTTTTTAAATTATTATCGCCTCTTTCACTGTGGTTTTGTTTGCTTTAATTCATTATTTTGATAGTAGTAGGCCAAATATATAAATTCATCCCTTAATTTGATATTTTAGTCTTATAACATTCTCGGTTTTTATTTTGAACCCATTAAATACTTCAGTTTATAAAATTATATATTAATCTTTCAATTTGTAAAATCATTTTATTGAACACTTCAACTTTTTAACTTAGATCAATTAGAAACCTATTACATGGTTGAAAAATGTAAAAACTTTTATTCTAAAATTGTGATAATTACACATCAAATAAATATTTTATGTGTAACTGCCAAAAATTAGATTATTAAACACTTCAACTTGTAAAATTAGATTGTGATAATTACACATCAAATAAATATTTTATGTGTAACTGCCAAAACAATTAGATTATTAAAAAACACTACCTTTCAACTTGCTTAAAATTAGCATCAATTTTAGACACTATTAGATGTTGAAAACATTATAAAAAATTATCTATTTTAAGCGAGCTCTAAAATTGTGATAATTACACATCAAATAAATATTTTATGTGTAACTGCCAAAAATTAGATTATTAAACACTTCAACTTGTAAAATTAGATCAATTAGACAACTATTAGATTGTTGAAAAATATAAAAATTATTATTTTAAGAGCCGTGAAAATTATACATCAAATCAATATTTTATGTATAAAAGCAAAAAATTTTAAGAAATTTTTATTGCTATTGTAGAATAGGTGTGTACTGTTACCAAAATTCAGAGTTTTAGAGCACAATAGATCTCCCTTAAAGTTAAGGGTGCCACAAAATATAAGTAACAAAATTCATAAATGAATGTTTGTATGTAGCTCTATTTTTGTATGCATGAAAAGTCTAATGAATCGAAAAAATACATATAGCCTACGTGGTAACAAGTAGTTTTCTTCTTTGAATAACATTTATCAATTGATGATAATTTTAATAGTAGTGAAGATTCAAACTCGGAACTTCTCACTCTCTAAATAGTAGTGAAGATTCAAACTCGGGACTTCTCACTCTCTAAATCTTCGACAGGATGTAAATAAATCAATCAGATCACACATCCGAAACATTACATGGTGTATTTTCATCATTTTAATATATGTAAACTACATTTTCAGCCAACTTTATATGTAAAATGAGATATAATAATGGGGCTTTATTAATCCTAGCATGAATATAGAAACACGTGTAGTATATATAAATTAGGTATATACTATAAATTATATATGCATTTAACATACTATAAAGTTGAAGCCCACAGTACTTTTTTGTCTATTAAAATGGAACCATGTGAGAGAGGCGAAGTGTCACCGACATTATAAGCATCTTCTAAATCTCAAACCACTTTTTCTTATTTTCTCCGAAAGTCTCTTACAGTTAGATTAACCAAGGCAGCAGTATTCACATGTCCTCCTATAACTTCGTCTTCCTTTTTTTCTAAAAATATATATATAAAAATTTTAAAAAGTAACAAAAAATTAAGCATTATGATTTTATATTTTTTTGCTTTAAATTTTTTTATTTGAAAAAAAAAAAGAATGATTTCATTTCTAACAATTAAAAATTTAGTAATGCAATACGTTTAATTCATATATATGACGAGATTTTAATTGCCACTAATGGCTGAGGTTTCATTTATTATTTCTATTATAAAAAATAATATACTTTTGAAGGAAAATAACATAACATATTAGGACAACTTTGTCTATATATCAGAAATTGCAGTTATTATTATTATTATTCTTACATTATTATTTTAAAGTAAAAAAGAAGAAAAGAAAACATGCAGGCCAAAAGAAGGAAAAAACAAAGAGAGATAAATAGCTATAGCGCCGGTCCTCACAGTTTTGCGACAAATGAAAACCGTTTCTTTTTAAGGCGGGAGATTGGAAGGTTTATAGACCGTTGGATTAAAATGATTTTTTGAGAGAGTGGGGTCCAAGATAATGAAAGTTAGTTGACCATTTAATCATCGAGTGAGAAATTGTCGTTTTATATGCGTTAAGAAGTCGTTTTCATTGTACTGTGAGTGCTTTATTCTCGCTTTATGGCGACATGGGAATATGATGTTTTTTAGCGTGTTGATGTGATGCTGTGACCTTGTGTTTCATGGAGTTTGGTGTGACTAAGGTTAAATCGTATACGTGGAAGCAACAGGAAAATTAGCCAATTTTAGGTTATGCTTTTCTTTTTTAGTTAGTGGGCCAACCACCTCAATCATATACTGTCCCCCATTTTTACTGGTCTTTTTCTTTTTTCTTTTTTTCTTTTCCATTCGAGCCAATTGGCATTGAGAAAAGGCAGCATAATTTTCCAAATGGAGTGACATTCTTCTTTGTAACACATATAAATTTCTCAAAATAAATTTAGTTACAAGGATCATGTGATATGTTATCCTACATAAAAGAACATTATATTGTTGTAAAGTGGAATGGCTGCCAAGCTTCACATAAAACATGAGATTTGTCTCTTTTATAAACTTGCTTCAGGTAATAATATGAACTACAATAAACAAACACTACCTTTTCCCCATTTTTATTTGCTTGACAACATTTTTCTTTTTTCCAGATTTTAGAAGTAAAAGTGTGTGTATAAAAGTTTAATAAGGTTCGATGAGTTTTGAAGCTGAATATTATTTCATTTGAGCTCAGCTCACTTGTCAAATGAGTAGGCTTGAACTTGAATTTGATTCGAACTGAACTTTTTTGAACTTTTTTTAAACTGAGCTTGAATTATTTGGATCTCCGCTTATTTATACTCTTGCAATGAAGAAAAGGGAATTTGTGTAATTTTTATACCGATATTCCTTAAAAACATATCGAGTAAGCCCATCAAAGAGCTATGAGTTGTTGGTAAGGCCTAGTTGGTTACAGCCCAATGAAAAGACACTAATAATTCATCCCATTAGTGCCCGTCTAGGCCCCATAAGAGGAGAATCTGTCTCTTCTTCCTCCAATTCACTGTAAATCAACTGACAATGCTGTGCAACCATGGCATTCGAAATCTGTGTCAATTTCTATTATTATCAAGCAATATTCTGCATTGAAACAGAAATTTGGAACCTAACAAGCTATTTCTTTAGTTCTCTCATCTTACACAAGCAGCTTCACAATATAAGCAGTGACCACAACCAGAAAAAATAGATGCAGTAATGGTTGCAGGAAAACAAAAATTATGAAAACCAGAAAAAAAAAAAATTTGGACCATTTCTCGATTTGTGCGTGTCATCCTTGCGCAGGGGCCATGCTAATCTTCTCTGTATCGTTCCAATTTTATCGGATGTCCCCGAAAACCAGATAAAAAAAAAAAATTTGGACCATTTATCTTCGATTTGTGCTGTCATCCTTGCGCAGGGGCCATGCTTAATCTTCTTCTGCTATACGTTCCAATTTTATCGGATGTCCCCCGAAGGCACGATATTCTAAGCGTCTCTCGCTTTGTATTTTTTATCGGATGTCCCCGAAGGGACGATCTAAGCGTCTCTCGCTTTGTATTATGAAGTGTTGTTTGTTGAAGTAACCGAGCGATGTGGGACTTCGTTCAATTCTAAGGAACCGCCTAACTAACTAGTTGGCTTTCTAAGTCGCCTTGATATGACCCTACACGTGGGCCCTTTACTTTTTACGTGTCTTAACTTAGGCTCAGTGATCCGTTGCGACCTGCTCTCTTTCTTCATCTAATTGCTTGTCTTTTGCTATGCTTTAATTTATTTTTTTTTTTCCATCATATCCTCCTCGTATTGTCACTTCTCGTGGGCCATGTTTTGGGTTTACAAGTTCTAAGCTTTAGCCCAAGAAACAATTTTGCATTTGGCAAGTACAAATATAGAAACGGTGAATTTCTAGCCCACCCCAGTACAAATTAAAATGAGAAAAATACTGTATTAATGTCTTTTGTTGATAGAATAATAAAATGAATAGAATGAGGAATTAGTAACAAGGCAAAAAATACTGGAATAATAAATTTACCACATTAATTTATTCAATTATTTTTTTATTAAATAAAGCTTATTCTTAATAATAATCATGTGCTTATCTTTAATATTTGTAAGTAATTAGACGGAAAAATATTTTTAAATCTATAGTTTTTATTTATAATAATTTGAAAAAATATATATAATGTTTAAACCCATAAAATGTAGGGAATATCGTTTATATTTTAACCTGACAATGACTATCGTAGATTTTATTTTTAGAATACTTCTAAGTAAATATTATTCTAATACAATAAAAGGCTAAATTGCCAAAAAAAACACGAGCTTTGACTATTTTGACAAATTTAGCAAACACTTTTAATTTTGTCAAAATTACTATCTCACACTTATTTTTCTTTATCGATTACAGCCTTTATTCGAGTCTATTGCTTATTTGGTTATTAATTGCTTCCACAACATGCTAACTCACATCGCGTGATCCTTCTTTGACTGTTCATCCTTATTTTTAGAATCTCTAAATTGAAATATTTAGAAGGTTTCATTATTGAGACAATTTTCTTCTCATTTCACTACAAACTTCAAATAATATAATATGACTTTACAACTAATAGACTCTTCATAAATCTCAACAAACAACTTGCACCGTCAGCCACCTCAAGGTTTGTCAAGTAGGTTTCTTGCACCCAGAGCTATATCACTCGACTGCATCCAACTATATTTTGGATGAAGGCTAGAATTGAAATTAAAAATAAATATAGATTATTGATTGATAAAATTAAAATTATTAGGCAATTTTAGAAAAAACCTCAAAAGTTAAGGCTTTTTTATGTTAGAAATAGAGTTGAAATTTTATTAAATGAATTTGACCTGTAATGGTGCAAATGCAATGCCTTGTTTATTTAAAAGAAAAAAGAAAAAATTGCGTGGAAATAATCTAATCATCGCCTTAGTGTACTAATGAATAAAAGAATAGAGAAAGGAAATCTAATTCCCATTCAAGCTTTTGATGTTGGCTGAAATAATATAATGCGCTGAAAATTTCGTCAAGTGATGCTATAAAGTTGGTCAAAATAATTTAAACATGGCCTTAGTTGATCGAAATAATATAATGGGTTGAAAATGTCCTCATTTTTACTCATCAATAAATAATAATTAAAATGTAGAAAATTTAATAAACTCTAATTAGATGGACGCTATAAAATTGGTTTTCTACTATCAATAAAATTTAAAAATTTGATATGCATTATTTAAAAGAATGAAATGAAGTTGGTATATCTATAATCAATTTCATTACCATTATCTTTAAAAAATGTAATAAAGAGCAATGCCGATCTCCTCATTTTGGATGGGCTTTCACACGAACCAAGCTTTCAGAATGAAGCCTCTACCAGCCCTTTTCCTACGGTGGCCAGACGAAGCACACCGCGAGGTAGAAGGTTCTAATAGTCTTAGCCAAACTTGATTCTGGGCTTTAGTGAATATGAGCCCAAGTTTAGTGATCTCAAAAGACATATTTATCCTTAATATCAGGGTCCAACCAGTACGAATCTCCTATAGACGCAGGACAAAATTGTGCAAGGTCAAAGACGTCTATTTAATTAATGGTTTCTTAAAACCCTAAACACTGAAAAAGTTGATATATAAACTCTCATTTCTCCATTTTGTGTTTTCTCGAAACCCTAGTGCTCTCTCATCCTCCGAGCAGCTAAAATGCCGCCCAAATTTGACCCTTCTCAGGTCGTAGATGTATTCGTTCGGGTCACCGGTGGTGAAGTAGGTGCGGCCAGTTCTCTTGCTCCGAAAATCGGGCCTCTAGGTCTTTCCCCTAAAAAGATCGGAGAAGACATTGCTAAGGAGACCGCCAAGGATTGGAAGGGACTTCGAGTTACTGTCAAGCTTACGGTGCAGAATCGTCAGGCCAAAGTAACGGTGGTGCCATCGGCGGCCGCTTTGGTGATCAAGGCACTCAAGGAACCGGAGAGAGACAGGAAAAAGACTAAGAATATCAAGCACAGTGGCAACATCTCGCTCGATGATGTTATCGAGATCGCGAGGGTGATGAGACCAAGATCCATGGCGAAGGATCTGAGCGGAACTGTTAAGGAGATATTGGGGACTTGCGTTTCGGTTGGATGTACTGTCGATGGAAAAGACCCTAAGGATTTGCAGCAAGAGATTACTGATGGTGATGTTGAGGTGCCGCTTGATTGAGATCGCAAGCTTTAGTGAGCTATTTCCTTTTTCTTTTTCTTCTACTTCTTTTTTTTGTTAAATTTTATAAAACAGAGAAACCTGTGCTTTTATCTAATTTGTGTTTTTTGACATTGAAGGATGTTTTGATATTATTTACTATTTTGAGGTAATTAGATGATTTGGAGGAATTTTTGGTCATTTATGCTAGTGGATTATGATATTTTAATTTTTTTATGGCTAATTTGGATCTTATTATTGAATTTTTGCGGCGTGTATGTGAAATTTATGCAATGTAGTTCCGATTTAATCCTAATGAGCTTTGCTAATGATAGCTTTTAATAGGATTATGAGTGGAAGTATTGTGAAATAAAAAATGGAACGAGAAAGCAAAGATCAATTTGATTGAACCTGTTATGATTTCATTATGCATTATTGCTTGGTTGTACATAATTGATAAGCAAATTTTCAAACTTGTAGATGTTGTTCTTTTTAACCTTTTGCTCTATGGTGCTTTTTTTGGTCTTGTATACTAGGTCAAGACTATAAATATTCATGGACATGTCTCTCGTAATCTTGCCATCATCTGTTAAATGGTTGTGCTTGCCTAATATCATTTCAGTGATATTTACTTTGTCCAACATTTAAACTAAAATTTTTAGTTTTGGCTATGCTATCCTGTCCTCGCTTTCTTTCAATCTCTTTTTCCTACAATTTTACATAGGTATTATGCTTTTTAACCTCTTCGATATTTAAGAAAGCCTCATTTAACTTTTGAAACCATCCTACTTACCTTGATGGTATGATGTTCATGTAATTTTATGGCATACGAGTTCTTACTAGGGTTGGCAGAAATTATGTCACTGTATGTTTGCTTTGCTTGTAGAACAAAATTATTTACGAATTGGCACCTTAGTTATCTAGAATTATTTTATTTTTCTTGTGTTATACAGTTACGTGGTTCTTTTATTCGAAAAGAATTTTGTAGGCTAATGATGAATATGTACATTTTGTTTACTCCCTGCTGCGCGAATTGAGTTTTGCATCATGCTTTTGCTCCTTTCCGAGCATTGCTTGGTTTGCATTTTTCTTAAAAATTACAGAGAATTTTGGTCTTTTCTCTATCCAGAATGTAGGTCCGATGTGTTCTATACCTGTATTGGACTGATTATCTGTTGTACATGTCAGTACACCTCTGCTTTTAAGTTGTTTTGATATGTCGTGCTGTTACCTTTTTAGACTTTTTTCCCTCTAGTTTTAGCTAGAGCTCTGCTTGTATGTTAATTAACTATTTACTTGTAAGGATTGAATTTTTATAGGACAACTTGCTTTAAATCGATTGTGAACTGAATTGGCTACGTCTTGATGTTTCCTTTCTTGTGTTCTGCAATTTTATAATGTCGAATTTGTTGTGCAAGGATCTGGGATTGCGATGGATAGATGCTTGTATTTTTTATTGTACTCAAATGTGCAATTGAAAATTGTTCAATCGAGTATAAAAAGTTTAGGTTTTTATTTTTTTTTCCACTTTTTGATCCTTGTAAATTCGGCAAATTGAACCAAATTTTGAAAACTTGATTTTTTTCTTTTCTTTTCTTTTTTTTTTGAGAAATCAAATTGGATATTTCGATGGGAGGAAACTGTATGAATACAAATCAATATTTATACAAAGAATAATACATGCAGCGACTGGGTAAAATTTTTTCATAAGGGTGAAAATTTATTTGCCGGTGTAATTATATAAATAAATATATTATGTGGTTAAATTTTTTTTTAATGAAAGTAATATAAAGAACGATAAAGTAATATTGATCTTTTTAGTATACATAATGACTTTCAATGCAAAAAAAATAATAAAATTTACATATTAGAAATTATAACGAAATTAATTATTAATATTTAAAATTTTAAATATGTAATTGTGATTTTTAAAATTAAATGCTAATATTAGTATTTAAAATTTTAAATATGTAATAGTGATTTTTTAAAATTAAATACTAAAATTTGGACAAAGCCAGGGGCGGTGGCCTCCAACCCCCTGGCTCCGTGCTGAGTGACGCCCATGAAAGAAGAAAGAAGGCTTTTAGGAACGAAAAATTGATATTTAAATTGATAAAAAAAGATCAAATTGAGTAAATTGTATATCTGGGCCAGTTAAAGGACAATTTACGCATTATTCAATTTTTTTAAAAAGGAAAATACTAAGTTGTATTATCTTCGAGAATAATAGGCCAATAATAAATTGAGAACAGACTCTCAAATACGAACAAAACGAATAGAAGCTCTAGCTAGTAAATTAGTCCCAAATTCCTCTGTCGGTTTTATCCACTTAACTTTAATGTCAGAACTCTGTGCTAAGATGGTCCCACAGTCTAAAACAATTAAACCAAATTATGAGTTATCTAAGGCAGAAGAATTGACAACATAGACTAAAACCTGATAATCTGAATAAACGCAGTATTAAGTGGTTGATTAAGAGAAGCATAAGAAAGACATTACCTGAGGGCAAGAGCTTCAGCAATGGATGAGTTGCCACCACCTTCTTGGAAATCCGACACAGCCTTGTTGTAATTGCCTTCACTATCCTCAAAGAGCACGCCATAACCATCAAAATCGGATGAGGAAAATACTGCTACATCAACAAAAGCCAGCCAAGAAGCATGATCCGACACATGTAAAGTCGACCCTGCTGTAGGACAAGGACAGGAATGAACTGAATGATGGGCATCAGAGCTGGCAGTTGACGCTGTTTTGAACTCAGCCAAGTATGACGAAGCAGCCACATTGATTTGTGCAGGGGACATGAAATTATTATTCCATAGCGCATCGATTCGAGCACACCAAAGCTTCCATGCGTGTGTAGCCATGCAAGCCGCCTTATCACGTCCTTGAGAATTGGACACCTGTATGAAAAATATCTAGAAAAGTAGTTGGGTTAGTAAGAGAAAAGCCCCCACACCTCCAAACCTCCGAGGCCCTTGGACATTGCCCCAACACATGGTCAACACATTCATCCAAATTACAAAACAAACAGCCACCAGCCCTTACATCTCTCATAGAATCCTCCTGCTCATGAACACTAAGGGGATGCTATGAATAGCCCTTACATCTCTCATAGAAAATAAATTCATAATTTTCTCGACAAGTCACAAACCCTCATAACATCATTAACAAAGAAATGACCACTATCCACCATAAAAGAATTGTACTTGGGAATCCAAGGGTCCTTAGTGACTAAGATATTCCTTCCATTCCCTACCCTCCACCGAATCCCGTTTTAATAAATCTCTAAAAGACAAAACACTTTGCCAAGTAAAGCTATAATTACTGTCTAAAATAGCTGTAAAAAAATCCCCCTTGAAAAATATTTAGCTTTGAAAATTCTATAAACTAAAGTGCTGGTGTCAGTCAACAACCTCCACCCCTGCTTCCTTAATATAGCGGTATTAAAACAATGAAGATCCCTAAACTCATACCCCCTTCCCTCTTATGACTACTCATTTTATCCCTAGCCAGCCAGTTAATGCCCCTTCTTCCTTCATTTTTACCTATCCATCAGAATCTATTCATCGTGATCTGCATTTTTCTACAAACAGTATTAGGAAGAAGAAAAACGCTCATAAAGTAAAAGGGAATAACTTAAGCAACTGATTTTATTAAGACCTCTCTACTTGTCCTGGACAACCATCTAGTACCCCATCCATGCAATCTGCTTCGTAATATATCTTTAAGAAATCCAAAAATTTGGCATTTATTATGCCCAATTAGGGAAGGTAAACCCAAGTAGTTCCCACCACCTAGAGGATGGAAGTTTCTCAAGATAGAAGAAATATCAGCCTTCAAGATACCAGACAAATTAGGACTAAATAAAATATCCAATTTTTGAAAATTCATAGATTGACCCAATGCTAACTCATACTCAGAAGAATATTTTTAACCTGACATGCTTTCCTACTATTTGCTTCGAAGAAAAATAATGAGTTATCCGCAAATAAAGATGAGAGACTTGCGGACACCTTCTCACAACTCTACACCATGAACTAGCCCCCTATTCACCTTATTGTATGCCTTGCTAATATCCGTTTTAAGAGCACAGAAACCCGAACTCCCCTTATTTCACCTTTTCAATTTACGAATAGTCTCGAATGCAACTAGGATATTATCCGTAATTAGTCGATCCGGGGTAAAAGCATACTGATGACTGAAAATTATTTTAGGAAGGATTTTTTTCAGACTATTTACTAATACTTTAGCCACAATCTTACATAAACCATTACATCGGGCAATAAGCTGATAATTTTTAACATCATAGGATTAACATTTTTTGGAATCAACACATTATTAGTATCAGCCAAAGTAGGAGGAAAGTGTACAGAATAATCCATACCTAAATAACTAACTCAACCACCTTACAGCCTGTCAACAATCACCACAACACAGCCCAACATCAATAACTAATTAATCATTAGCCAATCATTGTCCATCATTGCTGATTCAATCATTTCCATTCATTTATTTCAGCAATATAATCCAATGTACAGAATTTATCTTGGATTTCAATCATTTTCCATTCATTTATGTTCAGCAATATAATCCAATGTACAGAATTATCTACCAATTAGATTTAAGACCATTTAAGCTAAAATTTTAGATCATTCTCTTTATATAAAATTCACTCTTGTAGCGGAACATTAATACTTGAGAAATAAAATATAGAGCAATATTTTTTCTTCCAATATTTGAATTCACAAGCTGTTCATGTATACGAGGCCTCTGCAGGTTGCGATTCAGAACTATTTCTATTTATTCCTTTGTCTTTTTCCATTAAACCTTCTTGCGCATTTTTTCATTGTTCCTGTTTATCTTGAGAAAATGGATGATGAATACCATTGCAGCAATTGAATGTTTAAAATTAATGATTTCCTGATCCGTTAAACTCTTGTCAAATCCGATACTCCTAGTCGTTCTTCAGTGAGCATTAAACTGATCCTGGTAATTTTTTATTTTCGGAGTATATCTGTTAAGATTGCTTTAAGGGGCAAAGAATAAGCTTGGTTTTATTACTGGGTTCCATTCTAGTCCTTGAAACTATGCTGTAATTATGGAAATTGGGCTAGAACAGATGTATGGGTATATCTTGGCTATAAGATTTCTCTGCTTTGAAAAGAAGCAGCTGATAATTTTTGTTTTCTTGTCCTGACTGCCAGATTTTGTGGGATTGAGTTACCCATACATTATGGCTAAGTTAATGGTCCTCGTTGAAATTCCAAATTCTTAGAGATCTAAGCAATACGTTTCAAGGTACCAAAGTCTGATTAATGAATATTATTCTATGTCTTAAAAGAAAAGGGATGGAATTGTCTTCTATTGAAACTCTACCTGTATGCCACATTGTGGAGCTGCCTCATTCTTTTTCACAGCTTTGAAAGAAAAGATAAACAATGCAAAAATTTTTGATGGACTCAACAATTTGAGTATGATAATACCAGAAACATATTCCTTATCATGATCCATTGACATACCTGTTAGTCAAGGCCTGTCAGCATATCCTGAAAGCGTCGAGAAACAAAGGGAGATTTCATCACCAGCCCATTTGAATCCTCAATTCTACAGCAAACAATGCTCATCATTCAAAGCCAATCAGCCTAACTGCAGCTGTATCGAAGAACCAATCAGAGGGAAAAGACAAAGGGAACCACAGAAAACAAGGTTGACAGATACTGCACTCACTGTAAAGGAACTGGACATACAAAAACAAGCTGCTTTCCAAGTGATGGATACCAGCTGCTATTTGTGGGCCCACAGAAGAGGGGAAAGGGCAAGCAACAAATTGCAATTTTGCTTCCGTTCATAATATCTGCCTGCATCAGAATCACCGACTTGGGACTTTTCGCAACTCCAAGCTGCTCCTGCAATAATTAATGACGACAGATCAGTCGCTCATTCTCAGTCAGTTATAATTTCAGCAAGAAGTGCAACAGAAGCAGTCACAGGCAAATCCATTTTCTCACAAACCCTGGTACATCTTGATGCTGCTGCTAATATTGTCCAATTCTTGAGGTAGCATGTTGCTACTTTCCTCATTTCGGTATTGATTTAACTGATAAAGGGGTAACTGGTTATTGACTCCGGCAACTTAATCACCTCACTTATAATTCAAACCTTTTATTTCCTTGCACATCCTTACCACAACCAATTCTTAAGCTGCCTGATGGAAACAGTTAAAATAGTGACACAATATGGAAAAGTGATTTTAAACTCTTAAGCTTACATTGCATTAAAGCCCTAATATGTACCCTCTTGAAATGTAACATTATCAGTGTTAGCACCTTAACTAGACTTGCAATTTATCTCTCAAACTTAATTCTCCAATACTGTTTCTTTCGAGATATGCAGACTGAGGTCACCATTGCTTCTGTATATGTGGCAGGCCTATACATACTTCACGCAAAGACTCTTTTACTTTGTTTCCAGCAACATCCAAATTCAAACAAAAGACTCGAATCAGGTCCCAGCCAAAAGCTTTCTTTATGGCACTCTAGATTAGCGACATTTGTCTTTCAAGAGATATCATTATATTTGCAAATTTACCTAAATGTGAAATTTTTCATCCTTTATATTGTCCTGTTTGTCCCTTTCAAAACAAGTCCACATACCATTCTTAATCCAAGTAATTCTAGTTCAGTTCATTGCTTTTGTCTATTTACACAGTTGACATTTGGGGGCGCCTATTGGGGTCAAATCTGATTACCAAATGCTTTCTATTGCTCTACAATTGTTGATGATATGTCAAATATCCTGGGACTTTCATGTCTACATTCCAAAAGCACAAGTTCACCGAACAGCCTTAACAACATTTTTTAAACGTGTTAAACCCCAATTCATAAAAGAGTCAAAGCAATCCGAACTGATAAGGCCAGAGTTGAATTTATTAATTCCAGTTGCATTTCTTTGTTTGAAATTTAGCAGTTGTTCACCAAAAAAATCCTGTGTGTGTACCTTCCCCTCAACAAAATGCGAAGAGTTTGAGAGGAAACACAAAACCTTCAGTCAAGTAGCCAGGGTTCCTTAATGTTTCAATGCTCATCTTCCTACACATTTACTTGGTCTGAGCTTGCTTCCCTACTGCCACATATATCACAAAACTAGATTACCTTCAAAACCCCTTCATATAAGACCTCTCCATATCAAAAGCTTATACAATAAGAATCCTGACCTTTCCTAATTCAGAACCATAGGTTGTTTCTCTTGCCTATGCCCAGATGTTACCCCACACAAAAACCAAATTTCCAAACAGAGAGCTTCTCCTTCAGTATCTGATTGGCTACTAAACCAACATAAAGGGTATAGATATATATAATCTCGAGTCCCAAACTCTTTTTCACTCAAGGGATACTGTCTTTCATGAGGCATATATTTCCTTCCCAACAAATCACCTCCAAAACTCAGCTTGCCCCACTCTTCCTGCCAAAAACATTATAATCTTTCTTCTATTCCCAAACCTTACAAAACTGATACACCTTCTTCCACCAGCACATCAAGCCTACACAAACACCTTACACCAGAACATACCCTTACCAGAACTAAGAACTCACCCATCCACCAACTGAACCACTTGAACCAAAAAACAATTCTCTCCTTTTCCTTTTTTTTTTGTTGGGTTTTTTTTTTTTTTTTTTT